AACTGTCAATCAAAGTACCCCACCTTGCCTCCCCCCTCTTCCAACCGCCGGTCAGTCCCAACCCTCCCCCCCACCCCCCACCAAACCTCCCTTCAAGAGATGTTGGGTGAAAAACTAAATTTTAACATTTAGTATTAAATAATACCTCAGATTAAAGTTAGGATAATATAATTGACATTGCTGGATTCCTTGTAAGACCAGGAATATTTTGAATATAAATGTCATATATTTTGCACAAAAGATAACATATTTACTCAAGAGTAAACATTACATCTAAAATTTGTATGTCTAATGCAAAATCTATGATGTTTATATTCAAAATGATCATCAAATTATAAGAATTCCAGCAATGTAAATTATATTCTGACCAGGTAATTTGTATGAATTTTATGAGCTAAAACAAATATCTTCAGTTAATAAAAAAAAAAATATTCTTCACACTGTAACAGATGGTCGGTCGGTCCCTCCCTCCCCCCCCACCCCCCACCAACCGTCCCACCAGATGTGTGGGAAAACCAGAATATTTACCTTTTTAGTAGTAAATAATACCTCAAACTAAAGCTAGGATAATATAATTGACAATGCTTAATTCCTTGTAAGCCCAGGAATATTTTGAATACAAATGTCATATATTTTGCACAAAAAATAACATATTTACTCAGAATAAACTTTATATCTAAAATTTGTTTGTCTAATGCAAAATCTATGATGTTTATATTCAAAATGATCATCATATTGTAAGAATTCCAGCAATGTAAATTATATTCTGGCTGGGTAATTTGTATGAATTTTATGAGCTAAAACAGGCAGTCAGGCAGGGTGGCGGGTGGGGCGAATCTAAAAATAGCTCTCGAGCCGGGAGCCGGACACTCACCGCGTATACGTGGAAAAAACCCGCGTTAAGTGAAAGTTCAGCTCTGGCGAGCCACCGCATATACGGTAAAACGCGCTAAGTGAAACCGCGTTAGGCGGGGTATTTAAATCATCTTGTGTCACAGAAAGACTTCTGGTTGAAGCTAGTTTGATTAAGGAATTAAAATCAATAAACCTTAGTGATGGTCAGTTCAAAACTGATAATATGTTACATAAATTTATTTGTCAGTGGCCCAAGGTTAAAACCGCTTTGAAAACCTTTGATCTAGATGTATGATAGTTATTTAGTGGGTCCCTTATTTTTGACCGGACCTGACTAGTCACGTCACCCCCCTTCTCTTAAGCTCCTCTACGTGTGTGTTCGTGTGGGAATTAGTGGATGACATCATTATGACCTGACCTCATGTTTTTAAGGTCACCCTGTATATTTAAGCCTCTCTCTGTCCATGTAATCCAGTTGCCTCTGAAGATGTCTTGAATAAAGACGAAAGCTAAGGTACTCCGTTGTTTCCATTTTCCCGTGTGATTTTATCAAGACTTATCTTATCCACGTTTCCATTGTGGATTTACATGATATATATATATATATATATATATATATATATATATATATATATATATATATATATATATATATATATATATATATATATATATATATATATATATATATATATATATATATATATATATCTTTCAGTGAAGACGAGCCCAGGAGGGCGAAAAACAACGTCATTCTCTAAGTGACTTGAAAGCAGAGGATATTAGTCACTAATGATCTAGCTACTTCATAATAGTAGACGCGCTGTGGTCGCCATGCTGACCAAACCATATAAGAAATTGTTCCAAACACAATATCTGAGAGACATAAACAAAATAAAAGTCACTCGATTTCCTCACTGTGCTAAGATGTTTAAATACCGTATATAAAATCCTTGTGGCACTTAGTATTTCAGCTACAGTCATTTCTGTTACAACGTGTGTTTTGTCAACGCGAATTGGCTATAATGCGACTGATGAATAGAAGAATGATATTTGTAAAATGCGAACGCGTGTTGGCTGTAACGCGATTCCACTCGAACGTTTTAAGTGTACTGTCGCTTGGCACAGGGTTATGCAGTGTTTACAGTTCATGTTCGACATCACATGTTCAAATGATTCATGTGTTTTGTTTGTGAAGTGTTATTTGATAGGGACTCTATAAATTTCATTCTTTTTTTTTGGCAAATTTAGCTGTTCCCATAAATACTGTATGAAAAAAAAATAATAATAATAATGTTTCGCAGTGCAGACTAATAGCGTTTTACACACGAGCTCTCTGTTTCCATCACACGATCAGTTGAAACACGTGGGTTGTTTTGAAGCGTCCTCAGTGATTTTTGCTTACTATTTCTCCAATTTTGTGGAAAAGAAGAATATCTCCAAGAAGCGTTCTGGTGATCGCATTCCTGGTGGTGATCGTAAAAGAAAGGCTATAACACTTGAAGAGAAACTTGATGTTTTCGTCCCAACCATGCAACCAAAACTGCACCTGATGATGATGATACTGATGATGACGATGACAACTCTCAACTCCTGTCTGCATGACACCTCAACCTCAACATCAACCTTCTCCCCCATCAAGTTATATTCATATTTTTTCAAGGTAAATTGTTACATTTACTGTATGATTTCATTTTTAGATATGAATGTAACATTTATTTAGACTGTGCTATCCTTTGTGTTAGGCTAACTACTAAATTTTTTTCGATTTCGAGTAATCTGCACCTAACCCTATTTTCTCCATAAGCCCTGTTATTTCTATTGCGCGAATTTCTACAAAGCAAGGTTTTACAAGAACACAACTATCGCGTTGTAGCAGAACTGACTGTATTACAACACAAATTAGCGGAGCCTTATTTGTGTGTATTTACAGCTGGTTCACCAGGCAAGAAGATGACGGTGGCTGTGCGTGTGATGGAGGGTGCGGGAGGGGGTTTTGAGAAATGCAATTAAATGCCAGGTAGCGACGTGTCCTAATATTACGTATTAAGTAATTATTAGATGTTTTAATTGCCTGTAGGTTGGCCTGGCGAGTTATTGCTAGGCAATAACATACCTAGGTATAAGCTAGGCGTCGCATTACTGGATTGAACAAAAAAATACTGTACAGTTGGGTCTTCATTTACGCGGTCAATTGAACCCGCGGAGTACTGCGTAAAACGAGAAACGCGTAAATGAAATAACAGAACATATGGGATTAATTCAAATAGAGACTGGGCCGACCCGCAAACTCCACTTTTTCCGACACAATGCGTACCTTGTAGTCAAAATAACATCTTAATTTTATGATAGTATGCACACACAATTAATAATTAAGAGAAATATCAATAATATTAGGGTTTTAACACATACATTAGTAGAAAAGATGGCTGGGCACACGGGGATGGGGGGTTGGTTCCGGGGCAGAGGGCAGATTATTGGCACTCACCTGTATCACTTGTATCAATTGTATCACTATCCACCATAGAGGCTTGCAGGGCCTCTTTGTCAAACCCCTCAAGTCCATATCCTCACTATCACCATCACTGACTTGGGCCGGCTGTGGTGGGTGGCAGGTGAAGAACTCGGTAATGCTTTGATGATTGGGCAACCTTGTGCGCACCCTGCCCGCGCCGCTTCCCGGGTAAATGACCAAATTTGCCGCATAAATCAAGCATTTCAATTCTGGCAAGGCACCGCGTAAATGACAAAACGCTTAAACCAAAATCGCGTAAATCCAGACTCAAATGTATTGTAAATTTCAAGTTTAACCCCGTTCGTATCGGCAGGCGTTTGTAAGTCGGACGTTCGTAAGTCAGGGACCCCCTGTAATCTGTATTTGGCCTGGGAGCTCTCATCAAAATGCACAACTTACACCACTTACTTGAAATGCACAACTTACACCACTTACTTGAAATGCACAACTTACACCACTTACCTCACAAAATATTAATTTTTCCACAACTTTTCTTCTATAACTATTTTTTGCTAAATATGTACACTTTATAATGGAATAAAGTTCATATTCCAATCACATAAAATAACAAAGGTATTAAGTGATGTATAAACATTTTCATTAAGCGTTAACCAAAAAATTGTGTTCTAGTAATGCTTCCGTAAAGATTTTTTTTTTATCGAGATTACTCATATTAAACTGTTTATAGACAATTTATTTACAATGCTAACGCAACAAACCCCACCTTTTTATCTCAAATAGCAAGTTTGAAATGACTCATTGCCTACAATTATCTCTCGTGTGGTTCAGTTAAGTGCGATGAAGTGAGTGACTGGCCAGACCCCAAATGTCTTGCTGGAGAGCACTTCCTTAAGCCAAAGAGTTGTATAGCTTATACTATAGACAGGCAAAAGATGATTTAATAGGAATTTATAAGCACCAAAGAGGACATTACTCAGTCGAGAGTTCATACCTGGAACTAACGGATGCCCGCCCTACTAGAGGTTATAGTCTCAGTTAACGAAACTGAAAGTTCAGAAAGTTGCCAGGAAAAAAAATGAGTGAAAGTTGTGATAGCACCAAGTTGAAAGCTTTTAAATGAGATTTTACTAACACTGGCAAATGTTCTGATACAATTTAGAGCCAATGCATTCCCAGTACTTACCAACATTGTGTAACAAAGATGTAACCAACCGCCTCAGCAGCTAACACTCTGATCAGTAGCAAGGAGGATAAAGTAGCGAAAGCCCTCAAATTGATAGAAACAAAAATGTAGTACTGTACCACTAGTTCCCACTACAACCTGCTTTTAAGTTCCTGAAACATTACTTTTCATTATAGTGTGTGCAGTGCTTTATCAGGCATTTACCTAGTCTAGTACTTCAATTAGTCCTGGGAAAAAGAGTCAGGTGAATTATTTAGTAAAAATATATGCAAATTTAGTCTCATCGCTGGTGAGGCAGCAATATCTGGCTAAGTGTCTCAGTCATACTGTTGAATATGTGTCTATGGTCTCCATGTTGCTGATTCACATCAAACATTATTTTTTGTTTAATTGATTTTTCAATGCTAATTTACATAAATTGTGTACTGTACACACACAAAAAAACAAAATTTCGAAAATTTTAAATTTAATCAAAATCTTACTCACGTGCAATAGTAATGGATATCGCCTGCCCAAGTGTCATTTGTACTCTCAGCTACAAACCAATCGAGCTCTTCTTCTTCATTCTTAGCTCGGAAAGAATGCACTTCAAAGGTGATAGACGAATTGATGGTGTATGGCATGTCTTTATCCTTAGCTGAGAACTGATAAATTTTATCAAATCTGTTTGACCTCACTTCTTCATCCTGTGAAAAGAGGAATACATGTATTATACAGTAAAATACAATGTAATTTTAATATAAGTACAACGAATATTATTTGTGATGCAAAACAGTGAAATACAGACCATATAGTACCATAGCATTCTCTTACCTTTATATAAAAGAAAAAAGGAAGGGGAAATTAGTGCACATTGCAAGAGTGTGGCTTCATACATTAAAAAATATGAATCAACCCAGGGCATCAGCCACATTAGCCTGGTGTGTAGCTTGTATTAGACTCTGTCACATTAATATTATATAAATATGGGCTAAGGACATATATTCATTATATACATTCTATTACCCAGACTATTGAGCATACAGCGACATAAGCATTTGTTCTGTCACACCTCCTAGGGTGGATAGCCCATAAACATTTGTTCATTCACACCTTCTCGGGTGTACAGCCCATAAATCTACAGACTCAACCCTCCGTGTGTGAGTAGGTTGTTTAGAAAATGTCTGTGGTGAAGGATCGGTTACTCTCCAACCACCAGACTCAAGAGAGGACAGCCAGTTTCCCCAGTTCACAGCTAGACACAATACTCTAAAGTCGTGTCATGAGACCAGCTCTCCAGGCTGTACCTCTCTCTAATTATATCAGCTAATTACAAGCTAATAGCTAATGCTCATTAGTCTGTCAATACCAAATAATTGTACAGGCATGACTACCCAATATAACTAGAAAATCACCACATGTGTTTACATTAAACCAAGGAACAACGAGTGAAGAGAACATTATCTGTGTGTCTTGTTTGACTTACAAGCTAAGATAATTACAAGTTCAACCCAGGACAGCTGTGACGATTTCAACTATCAACCAATCTACGACTGTATCAAAGGTGACACGCCGTGAGATTACCTGATATCTCATCCAGTTGCATCAAAGGTACCAGCGACTAACCTACACTCATTCAGGCAAGTGTTAACAAGTAAGATAGTTCGATATCAAACCACAGCTAAAACAAGCTCCCTACAATGATCATTTTAAAGTCAAACTAGAGCAATAACCCAGGCGGTCTCCGCATTAGAGGAGGGTGAAGCGCCAAATTAAAAAAGCTGAAAAAAAGTACAGTCAACCCTCACTTTACGCGGTTAATGTAACCCACAGGATACCTCGGAAAGTGAGAAACGCGTAAAGTGAATAACATAACATATGGGATTAAATGAAATAGAGACCAGCTGACCCCCAAACTCCACTTTTTCCAACACAATACCTATGTTCTAGTAAAAATAACATCTTAATTTTATGATGGTACATGCACACAATTAATACTTAAGAGAAATAGAGAAATACAGTCGCCAAGTTAATGTCCATTCAAATAATGGACTCAACTCCCTCCCCCTCTTCTCACACTACACTCACTGGCTCTTCCCTCTCTGAGAAATTTTGGGGGGAAAACCAGGTATAGTAATAAATAATACCTCAAACTAAAGTTAGGATAATATAATTGACATTGCTGGATTCCTTGTAAGACCAGGAATATTTTGAATACAAATGTCATATATTTTGCACAAAAGATAACATATTTACTCAGAGTAAACATTATATCTAAAATTTGTATGTCAAATGCAAAATCTATGATGTTTATATTCAAAATGATCATCAAATTGTAAGAATTCCAGCAATGTAAATTATATTCTGGCCGGGTAATTTGTATGAATTTTATGAGCTAAAACAAATATCTTCAGTTAATAAAAAAAAAAATAATTCTTCGGACACTATCTGTCAATCAAAGTACCCCACCTTGCCTCTCCCCCTCTTCCAACCGGGCCAGATGGTCGGTCGGTCCCTCCCAACCCTCCCCCCCACCCCCCACCAATCCTCCCTTCAAGAGAAAGGTTGGGTGAAAAAACTAGATTTTAACATTTAGTATTAAATAATACCTCAGATTAAAGTTAGGATAATATAATTGACATTGCTGGATTCCTTGTAAAACCAGGAATATTTTGAATATAAATGTCATATATTTTGCACAAAAGATAACATATTTACTCAGAGTAAACATTATATCTAAAATTTGTATGTCTAATGCAAAATCTATGATGTTTATATTCAAAATGATCATCAAACTGTAAGAATTCCAGCAATGTAAATTATATTCTGGCCGGGTAATTTGTATGAATCTTATGAGCTAAAACAAATATCTTCAGTTAATAAAAAAAAAAAATATTCTTCACACCATGGTGCCAGGTGGTCGGTCGCCGGTCCCTCCCTCCCTCTCACCCCCCACCAACCGTCCCTACCAGATGAATGTGTGGGAATACCAGACTGTTTACCTTTTTAGTAATAAATAATATATCAGACTAAAGTTAGGATAATATAATTGACATTGCTGGATTCCTTGTAAGACCAGGAATATTTTGAATATAAATGTCATATATTTTGCACAAAAGATAACATATTTACTCAGAGTAAACATTATATCTAAAATTTGTATGTCTAATGCAAAATCTATGATGTTTATATTCAAAATGATCATCAAATTGTAAGAATTCCAGCAATGTAAATTATATTCTGGCCGGATAATTTGTATGAATTTTATGAGCTAAATAAAAAAATTATACTTCACCCGTGTAAAGGGGTACACCCACCGCGGAATGTGAGCATCCTGGGTTCTGGCAGGGCACCGTGTAAACGTGGAAACGCGGAATGTGGGACCGCATAAAGTGAGGGTTGACTGTATTTAAAATTTTTCGAAGTTCAAACAACCATAATTCTGTTGTTGTTTTAAGCTAGAGGGTTCATTTTTTTTAAATCGTGCAGCTCAATCCCTCTCGTAGCGAACTGTGAAAACTATAAGTTAGTACTGTGAATAGTTATTATTTTATCGCGAGTTGAATGAGAATAACTACCTGTGATGTACTGTACAATTGTTTGATCTTCAAACCAACAATACAGTAATACCCCGACTTACGCGGTCAATTGAACCCACAGGGTACCGCGTTAAGTAAAATCCGCGCAAATGGAACAACAGAACATATGGGATTAATTCCAATAGAGACTGGCCCGACCCCCAAACTCTATTTTTTCCGACACAATACCTATGTTCTAGTAGAAATAACATCTTAATTTTATGATGGTACATGCACACAATTAATACTTAAGAGAAATAGAGAAATACAATCGCCAAGTTAATGTCCATTCAAATAATGGACTCAACTCCCTCCCCCTCTTCTCACACTACACTGCTGGCTCTTCCCTCTCTGAGAAATTTTGGGGGCAAAACCACTAGATTTTAATAAATAATACCTCAAACTAAAGTTAGGATAATATAATTGACATTGCTGGATTCCTTGTAAGACCAGGAATATTTTGAATATAAATGTCATATTTTGCACAAAAGATAACATATTTACTCAGAGTAAACATTATATCTAAAATTTGTATGTCTAATGCAAAATCTATGATGTTTATATTCAAAATGATCATGAAATTGTACGAATTCCAGCAATGTAAATTATATTCTGGCCAGGAAATTTGTATGAATTTTATGAGCTAAAACAAATATCTTCAGTTAATAAAAAAAAAATATTCTTCACGACACTATCTGTCAATCAAAGTACCCCACCTTGCCTCCCCCCTCTTCCAACCGCGCCAGATGGTCGGTCCGTCCCAACCCTCCCCCCCACCCCCCACCAACCCTCCCTACAAGAGAAATGTTTGGTGAAAAACTAGATTTTAACATTTAGTATTAAATAATACCTCAGATTAAAGTTAGGATAATATAATTGACATTGCTGGATTCCTTGTAAGACCAGGAATATTTTGAAAATAAATGTGATATATTTGCACAAAAGATAACATATTTACTCAGAGTAAACATTATATCTAAAATTTGCATGTCTAATGCAAAATCTATGATGTTTATATTCAAAATGATCATCAAATTGTAAGAATTCCAGCAATATAAATTATATTCTGGCCGGGTAACTTGTATGAATTTTATGAGCTAAATAAAAATAAAAAATATTATACTTCAAGGTATATGAGTAGGAAACCATGTTACGTTAGTTCAAAATATATGAGAAATCGCGTATAGAAACCGCAGAAGGGTAATACTGTATTTGAGTTTACAAATTGTGGTCTACTGTAAAACAAGTTAATGATCACCAAAAACAGCACTAGTCTAACACCTCCCCATAAAAAATGAAATAATAATAAAAAACTCATTTGCCTATCAGTATTTATCTTTCCGTCCCTATTATTGCAAATATCTATTATACAGTATTGGTAAGTACAATGGCATGTAATAATAAGGAAACACCACTACACTACCCCCCAGCATTCCGTAACTAACATAAGAATAAGGAGGAGAAGTTTGCATAATCTCTGGTAAAAACAGTACTGTATTATGATAATAGTATTACAACCTACTTTTGTTTAGTTTCTTTGTTTTATTATCCCTGAAGATTGTAATAAGTAAAAGTTATGTAAATCCTGAGGAGTGCGTATGACTTTAATGGCCTCGTCATGATCAAATTACGTTTGGCTTGGCAACCTCCTGTGCCCACTCGTCAACCCTACGCTGTCTCATCCTGCCTTTTTTTTATAGGGCCTTGGGGGGTAAGCTCATGACCCCTGCAATCTGCATCATGTGGTGCTCCACCACCAACACTAGGCTCCCCAACATCACCAACATTCTCATGCACGTCACCTGCAACATCGCCAGTAGCACTTGTATCACCATAATCAATACTAAATTCACCACCAAAATCACTATCACCAAGCATTACTGGGGTGTACACGTGAGCACTGGCATCAAACACACGCTCAGGAATAATGGGCTCCTGAACCCACACCAGAAGGCCTGGCCTCACTCGAGTCTTGCTCTAATAGTGGGCAGATACTGCACAGCACTTCTCACACCCATGGAACACGAATAACGTCAATGTTACACGAAAAGTCATAAAAAATATCAGTAGAACGTAGCACTGAACCTCCTTATGCTATATCTTGCCAAAACTAAGAAGGAGGCAGCATC